AGAAATGTTTATTTCTTTGTAAAAAATATATTTATTTTCAATGAATTGATTTAAAGATTATCTTGACCACAATAAGAAGTAAGTAATAATTAAAATCAGATTTTTCAAAAGGGCGTTAAAGATCTAAGTACGGTTTATCACAATATCGATCGCGGTATTTGACGAGAACTTAATATTGTACGACTTACTATATTGCTTGTTTACGGGCGATAATTAGTTCGTTCTGCATTCTATTATGTAAATTGCGCTTTTTCATTTCATTTGGATTTTAATTAATAAATTAAGAAAAACAAACAAGGGAAATGCTTATTTTACAAATAACATTCCGATAAAAACTTGCAAAACGAAATTTACACGATTCTAAACGCACGATCTCGCACGATTAAAAACGCACACGATTGAGTCTGATACACGAACGATCTTGCACGTTAAACGAACGATCACTCACGATACACGAACGATTCTACACGATTGGTTTGTCAACAATAACGTTCCAGCGTGTAATTGAAATACATTTATATATATATATATATATATATATATATATATATATATATATATATATATATATATATATATATATATATATATATATATATATACCGTATATCAGGATTTTTCCGCGTGTATCCAATTTCCGCTTTGTTCGCAAGCTATTTAAAAAGATACATAATGTTCGTGTAATTGAAATACATTATATATATATATATATATATATATATATATATATATATATATATATATATATATATATATATATATATATATATATATATACCGTATATCAGGATTTTTCCGCGTGTATCCAAGCAAAATCGCGGAAAATAAAACAGCGTAAAGAGCTAGGTACATTAGTAGCAAAATTCCGCCCTGGTTCGAAAATCAAAAATAGTACACAATAAAATTAATCAGGATATGCACTTTATAAATATATAAACATTTCTTATCCATCTTTTATAGTTAAGTAGCTACAGCCTCTGGAAGTTGGGATGTATAAACTAAGCATTTTGTCTTATTTTAGCATTATGACGTCATTATGACGTTACTGAACAATAGGAAAAAAAACAGCCTCTGCATTGTTTTCAGAGAATGAAGAAAAAACATAATATATTTTTAAACAATGCATTGCTTGTTTTTTTTTTACACGTGTAAAATTATGTTTACTAAATAAAGTAAAAAAAAATTACATGTTTTTTACTTCAAGAAATGCATTTTCATAAAATTATCTTCATATTAGAACAAGCATTTCCTTTCATCAATCATTCCTCAGTGACCTCTGTCTCACTGTCACTCTCATCAATGGCCTCTGGGATGTGAGCTGCATCTTCGACTGAGTCCAACCAGTTTTTGCTCATTTGTAAACTCACGTGTTCGTGTCTTGCAAAAGCCAAATACCAGATGACACTTGTTATATGGGCGCAGGCCCCTACTACTCTTGCACCTGACCTGCATCGACAGTACCACGATGTTACTGCGCCATCTGAATATCGTATCCAGCATTTATATTTGCTGCTTGATATGTGCCTGCTCTGAAGCTTCGCAACCAGAAGGCCCGGTAGTTGTTTGTCAATCCAGATTTCATATGTCCCATCTAGGTTAGTGTGTTCTTGAGAGTAATGCTTTGCCAGTTTCACTTGGTATACTCCAAGGGTTAGTTCTCGAACTTCGTCTTCGGTGAACCCAGGGAAGTCATCTAGATCTGTTGTTGCTTCATCTAACTTCACCCATCTGTGAGACTTTTTATCCAGTCCATTGGATTCAACTTCCTGTTGCAAGAGATTGCTTTTTGATAGCAAATATCGCATTTTTGCAGCCATGTTAAGATCACTCTCTTCATTCCCAGTGCTAATAGGACATCTGTTTAACAGTGAAAAAGTTGACAGCTAAGCAAAACTAAATGTAATTTTATTCTTTATGTGTGTTATTTCTGAATTAACAATGACTATAAATATCTATTTCATTATACTATATAAATCAGTCTCTTTAACATTTTTGCACATTGCTTGATTTTGAAAAAGCTTTTTGATAGGACGAATAAACATGTACCAGCATATAATTATACTTTTGTTCTAGAAACATTATATTTACCTATATTTATTACAAATGGCGCTGACTATTCTGACGTAGTCTCCAATATATGGAATTTGAGAATTCGGGAGCTGTTTTCCAAGGTATTTCCATGTTTTGATTCGTGCATTCACTGACTCAGCTACCCATCGGATCTATTTTTGAAAATAGAATATACAAATACTTAAACTTTGATCTATAAAATATATTTTCATTCCTTACAAATACTAAATTAGGGAAAGCATATATGCCCCCACTTCCTCTCACTTTTTCAATAAACTAGTAATTAAGAGAAAAATACCTTCGTTATAAGTCGAGAACTATTTGCTTCTTCGGTTGAATGCTGCTTTTGACCTTTCTTTAAGAAGGACGGCATTTCCATGTTGATTCCAAGCTCAGATAATACTCCAGCTGAGTCCCTGAAACCGCGGTCTACAATCAGAATGTCATCTTCCTTGATCCACGACTTTATCTCTTGAACATTTGTTGCAAGAATATGGTTCAGGATCTTGGCATCAGAGTTCTTGCCATCAGCCAAATAGGGCCCAATAGCTGCAATGATGTATCCAGTAGTGGAAACAATCATCATAGGTTTAAGAAGATGTCGATGTTTCTGCATGCTAAACGACCGCCGCTGGAATGCAAAATTTGTACTTTTCTGTACATAGATATATGTACCATCAAGTACTAATATTGCTTTCTCATCAGCAAAACTGGGGGTAAAAAGTTCTTTTGCAAGTGGTCTTGTGTGCTTCTGGATAATGGAATCTCTGGTCACATGTTGGAATCCCAGGTGCTGTGGAACAAAGCTGTTGCACAAAGCCTGTCTTGCCGTTGATACCGCTCTTCGAATCTGAAGCACACACAGGTTAAATATCTTAGTATGATCAAATCTGTGGTAATATGCACAGAAAAAAAATGTTTTCTTACATATAATTTTAATTTTACACATAGATCAAAAGATTTTTCAAATATTTTGTTTACTGTTGCACATTTTAACTTTACAAAGCAGTTGTAAAATACCTGTGGTTTAGACATATTGAACATCACAGCAAGCATTTTATTATCCAAAGAGGTCTTCAGTTTGGTAAGAAGTATAGCAATACATGTTCTGATGCTTCTGGATTTAGATGGTCTGATATCAGTTGATCTGGCATACGTTAAAATGTCGTCAAAGTCCACTTTACTAAGACCTGTCAGTGTTTGGTAGTCATCATCATTCAGTGCCTCTGGGTCATCAAAGTCTAGGCGTTTTCTCCCCTTAACATTAGCTTCGTCTCTTAGTTGTTGTAGGAGTTCCATGATAGTTGATCTGTTTACAAACGAGTGATCTTTTGTACCTGGTATGATCTCTAATGATTCGTGCGTGAGTGTTCCTTTTGTGAAATGTGAAGGACAACACCGGGCTCCACTTGGTATTAATATGTTATGCGACAAAAAGACTTTAAACCTAGCCTCCGCTGATACCACTATTAACTTTGGCCCTGGTTTCTTGCATAGAACGCAATAGGCATGACTCTTGACGGTGCTGTTAATTGGTAGAGTAACTGATGGTGGACTTTGAATGTTTGTTGCTCTTCTTTTGCTGACTGGGCTGCTAGGCATTGACACTGCAGCTGAAGAAGGAACTTGTATATTTACTCCTGTGGAACAGGTAGCTGACTTCTTCTGCATAGATGAGCATTTATGTCTGCACTTGTTGCAGATGACTTTCCCACCCGTCCTATCTATCAAGAAACATCTATTCAGGGTTCTACTTATACGTTTGTTTACTGTCCTTCTTTCTTTTGCGTTAGTGCGTTTATTACATAGAACACATGGATACTGCTTTGGACCTTGGCCAGGCATCCTGCAAGAAGTAAAACAAATCTCTTGATAAATATGTACATTACCTAATTTTACTAGAAATTTAACAAGGTAAGACTAAATCTAGAACAAATCAAAAACAATTCTCAATTACTTTTTTTCTCGCGAAACACATTGTAGTGTGAATCTGAAAGGAAAGAATTACGTCCATAGAAATTTGAGTAAAAATTTTAACCACTCTCCCCTTTTCAAAAAAAAAAGAAAATATTAATTATCTATGTATCGATCTATTTAATTTTTAGTAAACGCTATTTTGTGTTTTTATTTGATAGTAAAAGTGTGCAAAAATACCCAGGTAATATACTGATGTAATGCAGTTTAACCAAGGAAGAATTTATTATATTTACTAAAACATGTAACACAGGCACGTAGCATCGTTTTTGAAAATTGGGGGGGGGGGGGCAACCAGAGAAAATTTTTTTTTTACTTACCTGAAAAAGTTGACAAGCAAAATAAAAAAAAACCAACGGAAAATTAAAAGTTGCCCTAACTCGAAAATTGGGGGGGGGGGTGTAGTGGCCAACTTTTCTTAAGCCAAATAACTTTCAATTCCATTTTTTTTTTCCCCACAATTCTTTAATATCACTATACTATGGTCAAAAAGTGCGGGGGCCAACTATCCCTTAAATGAACATTTCCTATAGTAAAGGTAATGTTGGGAAAAAAGGGGGGCAAGCCCCCCCCCTGCCCCCCCCCGTTGCTATGTCCCTGTAACAATAGTGAAAATATGAACAATTATGAAATCTGAAATTTCAAATTCTGCAAATGTTGTATAAATGTGTATTAAGCGGGAATTCACATAACTAGACACTGCAAGAAGTGCCGAGTTATACTAATCTTAGCAAGTGAATTTTACTTATTTTTTTCCCCAGTGAATCTGTATCTAACGAACCACAGGCACTTTGAGGCATGGACCTCCTCCCCCTCTATTTTTTTCTTTTTATTAATTCAGGGATCGACACGCTTTATTCCTATATTCGTGTTTTTAATATGTGTTACATGTAATTAATAATATAACCCTTTATTGATAAAATGTAATGTATAGCAGAAAACATGTTTCCCGAATAGGAATAAAAAATATTTAAAGCCCTGGTTTAAAAGAAATGGAAAAAAAGAGAAGTGGGTCCATACCCTAAATTTCTGTCAAACGCAACGTAGGAAAAAAATATGTTTGTTTACAAAACATGTAAAGTAAATTCGTCCACGAATGATAATTATTTAACATAAAAAAAATATAAAAAAGAAAAAAAATTATTTTTGTTGGAGTCGAAATCGAACCCGGGTCGTCCGCGTCAAAGTCCAAAATTATACCACTACACCAACTATTACACAGTAATTTAATGGAAAGAACACGTACTCTATTTATCGGCTATAACAAGTTTCGGATCTTTTCATATAATATTATTTATACTTTAACGCCCTTTTCTCGTTCTATATTGTTTTTCACGTGTTCTTATAATCCAACTTACAGAAATACACAATTACTTTTTATTAATACACTTACGTTATTGTACGATGTACAATTTGTTTACACTGACGACGATGGCACATCGCCTCAGTCCTGTCTGCATTCGTTCTCTTTCAAATATAATATGCATGCTAACAACAGGTAAATTGAAGATAACTTTAAAATGTGCATTTGAAAACTAAGAATAAGACGTGCAAACGCGCATTAATTAACAAAATATGAGGTGATCAAGTACGATAGTTAGAAACAGTAGCAGAGGAATGTCAGGTATTCCTCAGGTTAGCCGTGACGCAGGATCTAAAATTAATATGTGTACCTCAATACTTCCCTGCATGACCGTAATTAAATCAATCTTTTCATATCAGATGTATTAGAAAATTATACATACCTGTACTGTTTAGATTTACTCCAAAATAAAGTACTTGTGAGTAGCAAGGCTTATACAGTACGTGTACATTTCTTTGCACCATTTCCCTCCTTCCTGACGAGAAGCAGACGACAAAAGCAACGTTTTTTCAAGATTTCACATGGGCCGCAGTCCTCGACCAAAATAAAAACTAGTTTTTAATGTGACATTTTATCATTAATTTCTCACTTTAATATTTTGATTTTGGTCGATCCATGCGGCCACATAAAAATTTAACATTTCATGTTGTTATTTTTCGTATTTTCACGGAATTTCCGGATCTGTGTTCGGTTTGGATAATACATTCCTTCCTTACAATGACCAAATCTGCCAATGTATTTATAGAAAAATTAACTACGGTTCCCAAGCTTTATATTTATGAATATATCAAACAGAATGAGTTTCGTTTGTATTTTGATTATAGACAGACATAAACTACCGTACTAAGCTCTTTCATACAAAGTTTTTTTTCTTGTAGTAGAATTATTTTTTAATGCTTATATCATATAGGGTAGAAATAGCGGGATCAGAGGACAAGCGCAAGATACCGGTAATAGGTATAAGCCCTGGGTCACCTTCCTTGCGAGAAGCCATTAAACTAATTATACCTGAGCTGCTAGTTAGTTTGGAACAGAAAATGACCTATGATTGTTTAAATCTTACAAAATAATATCTGTGGATTAGCCAAGCGGGTCTTCCGAAATTGACAAGGTGAAGGTCGATCGATCTTTTTCTCACCCGTATGATTATGAAGTAACTCAAGCTTAATGACTCTTACATTTTACATCCTATTCCTTCATAGGCTTAAAAAATTGTTAATAATATAATCACTGGGACTTTGAAATAGTGAAAATTTGATTCGCGTAAATTTAATATACCGATTTAGGTCCTGATTCGCGGAAAAAACATGACGCGGAAAAAACCTGATATACGGTATATATATATATATATATATATATATATATATATATATATATATATATATATATATATATATATATATATATATATATATATATAAAGCACTAAAAAATCAACAACACTGTATATCCTAAGTGTCGGATCTACCAAGTAGATACAAGGTCACGGATGGAAATTTATATAAAGCACTAAAAATGACCAACGACACGAACAATAAAAATTGTCAAATTTTCGGGACGCCCTGTCCCTTCCTCAGGACAAAGAAAAAAAGTTAAAAAGTCATAAGAACAATGGAAAAAGAGAAACAAAAATAACTAGCACTACTACTAAACTACTAAACACTAGATATTTACATACTTAATTACATGTTGAATTGGAAATTTTTAAGAACACTAATAAAGAAAGAAATCCGGACCGCTATGAAATGCGACCGGTCTATCGGGTATACTCGGGTGAAGTGACTTCACCCGAGTATACCCGATAGACCGGACGCATTTCATAGCGGTCCGGATTTCTTTCTTTATTAGTGTTATTAAAAATTTCCAATTCAACATGTAATTAAGTATGTAAATATCTAGTGTTTAGTAGTTTAGTAGTAGTGCTAGTTATTTTTGTTTCTCTTTTTCCATTGTTCTTATGACTTTTTAACTTTTTTCTTTGTCCTGAGGAAGGGACAGGGCGTCCCGAAAATTTGACAATTTTTATTGTTCGTGTCGTTGGTCATTTTTAGTGCTTTATATATATATATATATATATATATATATATATATATATATATATATATATATATATATAATGTGGATTTTAACACAGCATCCTTTTAAGAGCTAACAGGTTTGTTATATAAAATTCTCTGTGAATATATATATATATATATATATATATATATATATATAGAAAGCACAGAGATATTCACTTTTACAAGGATACTCACTTCCGCCCCAGCCCGGGGTTGAACTCTCGACCTACGGAATCTGTCTCCTAGCAGTGCAGGAACAGCGCGTTAGACCGCTCGGCTATCTAGGCAAGTTAAAAAACTTGCTTTCGATGCCGATGGAATTCTCACAACGCTGCCCTAAAAATTCCAAGTTTTTGACTTGCCTAGATAGCCGAGCGGTCTAACGCGCTGTTCCTGCACTGCTAGGAGACAGATTCAGTAGGTCGAGAGTTCAACCCAGGGCTGGGGCGGAAGTGAGTATCCTTGTAAAAGTGAATTTTTTCTGTGCTTTCCATATTAATATTCCTTCATATATATGTATATATATATATATATATATATATATATATATATATATATATATATATATATATATATATATATATATATATAAAGTATTGCATATGTACACTACAAACCTGCATTGCTCTGCTATCAGGTTTTCATTTTCTTTTTGTATTTTTTCTATCCTGAAATTTGTGCAACATTAAACATGACAATCAAATATGAAAAAAAACTTTTGATAATGTTCAGAAAAGTGAAGTATCTTAATACGATAATGATAATTTCAGTCTGAAACATTCTTGCAAAATGTAAGTAATAATATAATTTGGAAAATTTGAATATAAAACACATAAATACTTATTGAAGGCGTTTTCGTTTGCTTTTTTATCCTCTGATAAATTTTTCTGCAGTTTGTCGATGGTTCTCCTCTGTTCCTCAAGGCTTCTACTTAAATCGTTGATCTGATGATTGAGATGTGCATTGTCCACACTAAGGTTTTCATTAGCTCTTGCAAATTCTTCTGTCTGTCTCTTGATTTCATCTGTCATTTTTCTTTAAAATTTCGATAAAAATAAAATGAACTATTGAAATTTTTTCATTAAATCCTTATTTGATTGGGACAAAGACAATACAATACATTTCAAATGTTCGTTCATACAAACGAACAGCATTTTTGACAATTCTTTTTCTTACAAATTGTTGCTTAGAATTAAATAATGTCTTATTATAAAGAATTAGTCTTATAAAGAAAAAAAACTTGATGAAAGTTATATTTTCTTGACTATTTATTTGTCTATCAGACATCCTAAGGGACTTATTATCAAAATGTCGCTCTATTACTACATACTTTACATGGTGCTGAAGTTCTTTCTTTTCTTGTTCCAGTCTCTTTTCAATAGATTTCATGGTTTCTATTTCTGCAGTCAACCTGAAGATCAATTACACTAACATTCGTAAACACCGATATCTCGATGCTCGACATAGATATTTACATTTTATTTACAAACATACAAACATACAAACAATACTAACATTTTAGGGAAGACTTTCCATCAAATAGATTAAATGTTAATGTATAAATATTCATATTTGTTCTAATTTTCTTCTCATTGCAATTTTTTTTTAAGAAAGAAAAAAAAAGAAAAATCACAAAATTATAAAAAAAATTCTGAAAAATCAAATCGAGCATAAAGCAAGTGAATAAAGAATATATTTTAATGTTTATTTAAAGTTTTCACATGGAAATGTTTGTATTCAAAAATGCACCCCTCTTTTATTGCTATAAGATCCTTAGGGTTTCGTCAAAGGTCAGCATGTCCAAAAATTTATTTTTACAATAGCCCCAAAACTATGTGAGGTATAAAGTTAAAACTTTTACAGTTTATTATTTCTTCATTGATTAAGAGATAGAAAGTATCACTCGATAAAAAAAATACTTGGAATATAGAGAAAAAATAAAAATTCATAAATTAAAATACGCCTAATTAATTCCGTGCTCTTAGTGAAAACCATCATTGCAGAAACAAAATATGTTTATCTGTGAAGGGTCAGTTGGACTTGGATAGCCTCTGGAAAGTTGTTTTCCCTGTTTATTTTGTCCAAATGTTAAGACTTGAAAGTGAAAGTACATTGCAAATGGCAGATTCTATAGCGGTCTTGTCTTTATACGAGGGCTGTTCAATAAATAATGTCCTGAACTGTATGACATACAATACAGATATAATATGACATTAAACTTGACTTTCTCTCATAATTGAATCTTTAATGAATTTATAACAGCTTATGTGACTAATTTTCATCACATAGTTTCATTGTGAGAAGCTGGAAAACAAGGGCTTTTCGAGACACTGCATTATAAATGAATGGTAAAGAATCGGTAAACTAGAGTGAAAATAAAAGCTTAAACAAAGCTGCTGTAAAACTTGTTAAAAACTCCAAAGATATATTCATTAAAATATGTTACATTTACAGCAACCAATACCTGTTTTATAGACAAATGAGCAGGTGGATTTCAATGATAAAAAAATATATAATGGGCATCCAAAATGGGTACCCTCCTTGCCAACAAAAAATTATAACACTTATGTACTGTTTGCCATATTTCAACAAAAAGTACTTGATGATGTAGTATTGAATTTAAGACAAATAGCAAATTTGATAGACATCACATCGGGGGTAGTTTACACTGTTTTTAAGAAACGTTTGACGGTAAAAAAGCTTAGTGCTCAAAGGTCACCCTATATTTTTGAAAAATGAGTGAAAACGACAGCGTGTATTAATGTCTAAACAATTATTTTAAAATATCAGTAATTGGAGTAATCTACGTTTTCTGGATATTCAAACAGATAATGGAACTTGAATCTATTACTTAAAATCCTCAAAACAAAATTTACCATAAGATGTACTTGACATAAACAGGGAAGGTCTGGCGAGAGCAAAGAATTTCAAGAGCACAAAGACAGATTTATATGCAATGTTCTTAAATATTAGTGGCATTGTTGTTCAAATTCGTATTCGGGGAGACAGTTTAATTTCTGGAGGAGTCTAGAACAATTTTTTGAAAAAAAATCTAAAGGTTTATTAGAGGAAGGAACCAAAATCAGGAATCCACTACATTAAATTTCTTCATGACAGCGTCAAAACCCTCACGCCCTGAAGAGTAAAGGGGTTTTCGGGATACACAGATAGTTGATATTTTTTCACATTTACAATATTCGCCACATCTTTGACCTTTTGACTTATTTCTATTTCCAAACTTGATAAAAACACCTTTGATAAGGAAGAAACAAGTCCTGGGAATCATTGGATCTGCCATTTTCCAGTATACCAAGGGTCATACCCAAAAATGAGTTCTAAAACCAATCATAAATTAGATAAAAAAGGTTAAAGACATGTGTTGTAAGTAAAAGAGATTTATAAGTGAAATAATGAAGACAAAATCATTGTAAAGCGTCTTTTGCTTCTTTCCGAGCACCGAGGACATTATTTATTGAACAGCCCTCGTACATGTCATGCTTTCAATAACAGCCTTTCAGAGACCATTCACGCCCAACTTGCCCTTCAATGATAAACATTTATTATTTCTACAATGTTGGTTTTCACAAAAAGGATAGAATTAAGCAGGAGAATTTTTCTATAAATATGCACATTTTCTGATACAATTTTTCTCAAAAAATCTT